AATCTTGAGTTATAAAGGAAAGTTGTACAGTGTTTAAAAGGAACATAAAGACATTATTTTCAATGTTCTAACAGTGTTGTAACAAGTTTTTGAGTTATTGTTTGTTTGTTTTTYAATAAAAAAGGAATTGTTTAGCAGACACATTGTGTTTCATATTAATTTTCCTAATTTTAACAAGAAGGCAACTCTTGTTCTAAGATCATCTGCCTAGTACTGATACTATGTGACTTGAAATTATGGTGATTAAAACAAGAACAAGTCTTCCTAATTTACGTTTGAGAGTTCTTGTTTTGACATCATAAGACCCTTATTTTAAGAGCTGAATGAGTCTTGTTTCAGGATCTTAAAACAAGCATTTTCATGCCTTGTTTTAAGCCAGATCAACTCTCGTTTTGAGATCATATGAATCTCGTTTCAGGCCATTGTGGCTTAGATTTTGAGGATTGAAATAAGAACAAACCCGCTTAATCTAAGACGTAATAGTCACAAGACTATAAGAAATTAACGCTTCAAAAACGAGTTATAAACTGACCCAAAGCAAAAAGCAAAATTAACTGGCGTGTTTGTTGTATAAAGAAAGCGTAAATTTTACAACTCAAATACATGACTTTGAACGATACAAATTCAACTGCAAAAGGAGAATTTGAAATTCTACGGCTTTACATAGTTGATAATATRCAAGAAGACCATATATTTCGGAGAAAACTTACCACTTTTAGCTGAGATAGATGTTGAATGAGCGCGCGAAATCTTCATCGAGAAAATCACAACCTCACACATCCGGGATACYCAGTTCTGATTACTACTCGGAAAATCCTCGGAAAGATCTCGTGCGTAGCCCGRTTAACACTCGGATTTTCCTCGGAGTGATTTCACTTTTACACAGGACGCYSAGGTCGAAGAATGACATCGCCTGCGTGCAGCCGAACCAAAACGAGCTGKGAGATTTTAGTGTAAAAACTCAGGCCCGTAACCAAAGGGGGTGCACTGGGTGCACGTGCAACCCCCAGAGAAGCTGAAGGTCCRCTCATCTATCTTWATGTTTTTAAAGCCCCAGTTTGCACAATTATGCTTTGCGCRCCTCTGTTATTGTTATGATTTACACCAAAATACTTCTAGTATCCAAATATCACCATAAAACGATTTTAAGTCAATTTAATGCAAAAACATAATTTGTTTTGTCACGAATCCGAACTGGATTCGAACTGAATCCATGAAGGACCTTGTATAAGGTGGTATTAATAAGGTGTAATCACAAACAATAAAGATAATCAAAAACAGTAAGAAGAGTCACAAGTTGTAATTTCATGGGATTTGAAAACCGCGCGCTCCGAATTTATATACTGAACAGTTGACAACTACTATTAAAAAAGATCAATAATGGTCCGGTTTTATCACATGTACACCCCCGGTAGAAGTTCTGGTTACGGTCCTGAATCTTGTAGTGTAAAATCTCCCAGTTACCCGAAGATTGAAACATTGACAGTCTGCTGCTGTTTGTTTGTTTGCTTGTTTGTTTGTATTTTCTCTTTTTTATGCATAAAACTAAAATACAAATAAATACCCTTGATATTAGAGAATTGGGTTTGGCTCTGATTTTTCATGAATTTTGTCACACTTTGATGTATGTTTGCATCTCACATAAGATAACAGCTTGTATTACAAAAATCAAATGGAATGTGCCCAAAAGAAATCCTATATTAATTTATGCGTGTGTATTCCGGTGTCTTACAAAAGCAGACTGCATATTAATTTATTTGTATATATGTATGTACAATTCCCCCCCCCCCCCCCCCGGGAATATATTTGTATCATTCATGGTCATACTATGAAGTTAATTAATTAATTAGTTGAGTATTCAAATTTTCCTTTATCACGGGGGTCAAAAAGGTCATATGTAATCATTTATTTTTATTTATAAAATTTTCGATATATAACGCTCGCTTTGATTAGCTGACGACCGTGTTTATATCAGAGGACAGAGACACGGCTTACCGGCAAAATTTGCTTTTCGCTCGAAAAATTTTATAAAATATATATATAACTTTCATACYCCGTGTTTGATGAGAGCATAATACACGATCGCGTCGCTCGCTTGTTATCTTATAAAAGCAATAAATATACACGGAAAACTGTTTTTTATTCCTTAAAACAACGTGTCTATATGTCCGGGACCCTGACAGAGTGTCACGAAAAGCTATATGCCCGTGAGTCAAACAAATTCCCCAAAATCACAGTAGAATGTAAATCCAGTCTAATCAAAGATGCTTTACTGTATTTAGGTGTAGATAGTCTTCCTTTTGACGAAATCCAGTTCACAATTTGAAATCTTCTTCGCCGCTCGGCATAGTCACAATCAACGTTGCACTTATGCACTTATCATTTGCTTTCCCGTGGGTCGACCCCCGGGACACCCCCAGGGATTTGACTTTAACAATAAACCAAAATTAGCAAAATCCCCTGGGAGGAAGCCAAATATTATAACAATACCTCTTCCCTAGGGGGTAAATTCTTGTCAAAGCATTTGTTATCAGACATAAATTATTTCCAYAAAAAATAAATAAGATAAACCATAAAATGCATGTAACATTTTCAAATCTGACCTTTTATTGGCGATACTAGCACACASATCTTTAGTGGCTAAGTAAATGACATTCAAAGTGGCCAACTAATTAAAACTTCATAGTATGACTATACTGGGACGTGCCACAGGCCAGGGTATGGCTTTTGGKCTTGCTGTCTTAAACAGGGTATATAAAGATATAACATTTCACCCGAAATTGTCTTAAACAGGCTAGGTACAATTTAGTTAAAAGACCGATATAATTTTTAGTGTGTGTCTTGGACAGGCTAATATTTTTATAAGAAATACCGCAGAAATAGTAGAAATACCGTTTCACTGTAGCAGGATTAACATGTTATCAAAAACTTAATTAGCGCCTAATAAGATTTAGTTATCAACTAACTAAGGATTTAGTGAGGCATAAACAAAGACAAGTTTCCTTTCTGGCATTGTGTTCATGCCCCAGTAAATTCTTAGTTAGTTGATWACTAAATCTTATTAGATGTTGATAGTTAAGAATTGTTTCATGCTTTTTTGACGTGCACTCTACCACCCCCGGACACGGAGATACAGGGGGGAAACAGACACACACACAAGGAAAAAAAATACAAATTTATAACCAGAACACATGTATTCAAAGAGAAGAAAAAAAATTATTGARCTAATCCACTGATGATCATCTTTGTGAATACTTCAAAACAGTCCTCATTGAAAGCGTCTACTTCACACTTAGCGTCTTCCTCATTGTATGAAACCTTATTATACATTTGAATTCCTGGTAACACCCACGAAATATTTTTTATTCCCTGATCAGTATCAAACTCTAATGTATTGAGTTGAACACCAATGAAGGTAAGCCTAAACCCATCAGACACAATACACTGAGCTGACAAAGGCTTCTTCAARACTTCACCAATTTTGTAGCCATTCAAGTTTGTTGCTTGAGCAAGCAGCCTTCCAAATGTAAACATAATACCTAAAAAATAGTAAAAGTATATGCATCAGATATCTAGCCTGGAGTGACTAATAGAAGGGAGGAGATCTAGGTCATTTTTGAATGATATGATACTAAGCCTGCTTGTGCCTACTACAAAGCAGTGAATATTCGGTGTAATGAAAAGTTCTATTAGTATTCTAAAAGTTTTAGATCTTTCTTTCAGAAGAAATTGCTCTAAAGAGCTACTGGTTCCCAAAAACGTGACTCCACGCATGAACAAACAAAACAGAAACAAAATTCTAATGCGTTCTATAAAAGAAACAATGCCTAGTTAGAACTGCAATTGTTCACAATAGTGACTGATATTACACTATTATTTAGATTTTATTTCATGGAGATATTGTTCGCACATTATTTCCTTGTATTTTAATAAAAAGTACTTTGTATTGTTATTAGCAATAAAAAAACTATAATAAAATACATAGTGTTATCTCTTTTTATTTATTTATTTATTTATTCATTTATTTATTTATTTATTTAATTCATTTATAATTTATTTATTTGACATAGTGTTATCTCATCTGTGTGACAGAAGTGGCAAAATGTAAACACTGATTGAGTCTAAATATTTGTGTTCCATAGATTTACTAAATGCTATGTATCCACTTCACTTATATTTACAATTATGCGTTTAATCGTAGTAGGCACATGCKCTCATTGAGTGCCTTTAATTACATTTATACTTTGTCAATGTTCATTTTCATATATTCCACCAAATGTGATCTCCATGAAGCATCTAGGATATTGCATGGGCTCTCAGAGATACAGATTTTATCTCCAAGTGTCTAAAAGATGAAATCCTTATCTACAAGCAACAATGCAATATTCTGTCGGTCATATCATTATCTAAGCAAATTATGTTGTAAAATAACTGTTTTTTGTCTTCAGTATATAGAGATRCCTAGCTCAGTCGGAGAATGTTCCAACTTCAACAAAAACATCAGAGCTTCAGAGCGAAAGACACTATAAGGGATTTGAAAGGGTAACACAGCTTTTCYCAAAACTCAAAAAAGAAATTAATAACCACCATTGATTTTATACAACTTATGATATTATGGAAACATACAACACTACCATACAATGTATGGAAGAACTATTAGAAATAGGTATTCATGGAAAGTTTTAAAGCCATAAACTAAATACTAACAAAGTTACTAACAAAGATGGAGGTATAAAAAAAAACATGGATTTGTATGGAATTCTTCGCTGGTGACTGGGTAGHCTTGGTTTGGTGTTTTTGTACCTCTTCTAACCCTTATCACTTCAAGAGAATTTAATTTAATATTTTTCTGTGAAACTCTCAGAGTTTATCTTTGGCTTTAATATCTACAATTTGAGTCTTTTCTTTTGTAAACATTATGAATTGAAAGATAGTATGCTAATTAGTGTTGCCCATTATTAGAGTTGTGTATATGCCATGTTTTAGTGTATACATATGTACATAAGCAGCCATGCAGGCTGCCCTCATGCTTTGCATGGCTTATTGTGTATAGCCTACGAGGGCGGGTAATCTTCGAGTTACGCGCTTCGAGTTACGCGCTTCGAGTTACGCGCTTCGAGTTACGCGCTTTTCGAGTTACGTGCTCGACCACGCCCACATTTGCCTCGGCCACGCCCATCGCATAACTCGATGCAACTGGGCAGTTCCACATGAGAAGCCAAAAAAACGTATTTTTTAAAAGTGGCCAATGAACCTGACAGTTGTGCTAGATCTCAAGCTTAATGATCWAACTTTAAAAGAACACTAAGACATTTGGGTTTAGGACTCAGGGGGAGAGCCCTGGGGGGTGTGAAGTTCTTTGTTTTCCCAAATTATAAAATAATGACTAAGTAGGGTAACTTCAGATCTAAATTAGATATAGATAAAAAATAACAAGAGGTGAGACCAACTTACATTTAGCTTCATATTATGATGCAGTTTCAGAACATGTAGCTTTTTTCTGAAGTTATTTGTTTTATAGGTGTATTTTTGTTGTTTAATTGTGTTACGGACATTACATATCAAAATGGTGAAAAAGACAGTTTAATTCACTTTGCAAGCCAAAGAACAATCTTTATTCTATGGTATCTCAGATCCTCTGTTAGCTAGTCATGGGTCATCATAACATACTGAGAAAATTTACAAATAATCGTGTTTTATGGAAAAAATGGTGTTACGGACATTACATAAAAATGTTACGGACATTACATCATTGTGTATGTAATGTCCGTAACACAAATAAATGTTTACCTAATATCAAAAATGTTACCTCTGCGCAATCAATAACATTATTAATTATCTTTTATGTGACAGCTAAGCATAATATGTATTCCGGAGATATGATCAATTCTATGACAAGGTGCAAAAAATTGAAAAAGTTTTATATATACTGTCAGTGTATTTAATTACAGTTATGTGGCGTAACATTCAATATAATACTAGACGCATATTTAGTGTTCATGCCATAATTGATAATAATCAAATGTCAGCTAAGCTAGCTTGAATGCTTGAAGAGTTTTCCAATAACTTTAAGACAATGAATGAGGAATGGCCCATTTCCTTGCAAATCAAATGGGCCCCCCTCAAAAAAAAAAAAACACAGGAAGTGTGGATCTCTGATTGCCCAGTCAAACCTCTCAGCCCCAGACCGATGTAAGAACATGAACTTCACAAAGTCGTTTTCATCTACTTCCAATGCTCGACCTAATTAGAACTTATTGATAAAATCCACAGCAAAGTACTTGCCACACATAGATTGTACTGTGGGTGGCAAAGGATGAAGCATTTAGACTTCGTGAAGTTTCATTTTCACCAGGGGCGATGGAGTCGGGGGGCAGGGGGCGGGGGCACTG